ATCAATGGGAAAAATGCATGCTACCTAAGTAGTCATTTTTTACCGAGCACGCTTTCTACAGGAGATTGAAAAAAGTGCATTTAAAAGCCGACATCCTGCCGAGTCCAAAATATTATAAGAGTATGCCACAAGATAATCAGTATCACAACCGCGACCAAGTAATCCTTCCTAATCGAAAACGCATTTCAGAATTTCAGCCAACATTTCCTGAGATAGGTCACGCACTGTAGTTTCACCGCCGAAGAACACATGGAGCATCTTGCAACGGTGTTCGACCGCCTTCAACAATTTGGGGCGTTGTTCTCGCGCCGTCCAATTGCGTCTTCGGTGTGCCCTCCCTAGAATTCCTCGGTCATCTGGTTGACTCCAACGGCATCCATCCTCTTCCCTCGAAGGTTGCGGCCATCCGTGATTTCCCTCCTCCCTCTTCTAAGCGTCAACTGTAGCGATTTGTGGGCATGGTTAATTTCTACCGCCGGTTCCTCCCGCACTGTGCCGGCACTATCCTGCCGCTCACGAGCCTCCCCTCGGGTCCCAAAGATTTGTTCGAGCTGTCTGTAGGCGTTCTCACTGCTTTTGACAAGGCGAAGGCTGTCCAGGCCGACGCCACCCTCCTGAAGGATTTTTCTTCCTGTCGCCCTCATGGTCGACGCCTCCAATGTTGCAGTAGGCGCGACTCACCAGCAGCAACTTGCAAACCACACTCAACCCTTAGATTTCATCTCCAGGAAGTTATTACCCGCCGAGACGCATTATAGCACATTTGAACGGGAGCTCCTTGCTGTCTACCTCCCCGTGAAACACATCCGGCACTTCCTTGAGGACAGGGACTTCACTGTGTTCACGGATCACAAGCCCCTTTCGTTCACTCTCAAGTTCACCTCTGACAAGCTCAACCACCGGAAAATTCACCAACTGGACTGCATCTCACAGTTTACCTCAGACATCCGCCACATCGACGGGTCACGCAATGAGGTGGCTGTCACACTGTCAGGGCCCTCCATCGCACATCACCAACCTACTCACGGGATCGTCCTTGCTGAGATGGCTGTTGGTTCTCCCTGTAACGAGGACGTTTCCGCACCTCAACTCCAGCACCTGCCACTGACTGCTGGCAACGACACCATTGTATACAACGTCTCCACCACTTTCCACCGCCCCTTTGTGCCACCATCCCTCCGCCTCAAAGTCTTCTCCTCCCTGCACAACCTTTCTCACCCTGGGAGTCGAGTTACCGAGAAGCTGTTTTCTGGCTATTTCGTCTGGACTGGTCCAACGACACAACAAAGCTCACATTGGCACCTTCCCTACTCCGGACGCACGGTTCCGTCATGTTCACCTGGACATCTTAGGCCCCCTGCCTCTGTCCAATGGCTGTTCCTATCTCCTTACCTGCGTGGATCGATTCACCCGCTGGCTGGAAGCTATTCCCCTGCCTGATGTCGCTGCTACAACGATCGTCAAGGCTTTCCTCAGTCGTCGGTGCTCCCTCCACTATCACGACTAACCGCGGTGCCCAATTTAAATCTAACCTCTTCCAGTCTCTTCTCTCATTTTTAGCCTGTACTCGAATCCGCATTACAGTCTATCATCCGGCAGCCAATGGGACGGTCGAGCGGTTTTAACGTCAGCTGAAGGCCCCTCTGCGCAACGTGGACGATCCGGAGGACTAGACAGACCATCTTCCCCTGGTTATGCTGGGCATTCGCTCCTCCCTCAAGCCGAACCTTGACTGTTCTGCTGCTGAACTCGTGTTCGGTGCCACCATCCGACTTCCCAGTCTGATGATCTCGCCAACTCGGCGAGTTGCAGTTGAGAATCCTACCAGTCTCCTGCATCGTCTACGGCAAATCATGCGGTCACTTTCCCCGGTTCTGCACAGGCCGTCCGTCTCCGAGTTTTACCTCGAGAAAGACTTGGCGACGTGCTCTGACATCTACCTCCGATGTGATCAAGTCTGACGGCCCCTTCCGAGTTATCTCCCGTGGGACGCGGAACACGCGAGGAGGTCGTGAGCGTGGACCGTCTCAAAGTTTCCGTCCCGGACACCCCTCCTGATGAGCCCTGTGGTCCCCTACCCCCTGCTTCACCTCTCCGATCCTCTATCCCTCCTTCCCGTATGCTTCCTTTGCCCCATATCCGCAAACCCCAACTGCAACTTCCCCTTCATCAACCAATAACACTGTAACCGCGAGTCATACTCACTCTACCCCAGTGTCCCCTATATATATATCACACGTAATGGACGTCATGTTTGCTTCCCCTACCGTTTGGTTGCTGATGTTTTTTTAGACATCAACAATTCCCTCGGCGTCGCTACGCGCCGCCTTCGGTGAAGCTGGTGGGTACTGCGGCAGTTTGCATCTCCTTGACTCCCACCTTTTCACGCTGCCTTCCTGTCCACCTCACACTCCTTGTCAATACGCTGCTGGGAGGCGCGCGGCTTGTCACTAGCCCCGCGAGTGCTCCAGGCCAATCAACGTGGTCCCCACTCTGACTGGCTGGCGGACGTGGAGACAACGAAAGGCGCACACACGCGCTGGGTGTCAGCACCTCGAAGACGGACACAAACAACAACTTGATTTGAGTGCGCACGCGGCTACTGCATACAGCACCTTTGTGTACGCAGTTTCAAAACAGTAAGGGTTGTCCAACTCAAATCGTCTTCCCTGAATTATGATTGGGAGTCTTTGTCTTGGTGGCCACACTACAGTAGATGTGCCAACTCATGAAATGTCAGCCATAATTTCGAAATGCGTTCTCGTTTCGAAAAGATAAATTAAGTAGTGTTGTAACACTAATCAAGATGCAGCATAAATCTCTAATGATCCAGTTACCTCAGGGTATCGGCTTTCGAAAGAACTTATTTTCGGCTGCATGCAAGATCTATACTCTGCAAAAAATGACTACTTATGTAGCATGCTATTTTCTCATTGATTTTCGAGGCCCTTGAAAATTCAATTATATTTCATGGAAAACATGCATAAAAATATTCATTATTTCACTTATTCGGTAGAAAATCACGTCTTCTTCCAATTTCATTCTCAAAGGAAGAGTATAATTCGGTTCCAAAACAGTTTCCAATTGCAAGATTTTTAATAGCATTAAATCGCCGTTCATTAAACGTCATGTATCTGCATTAACGAATGTGGCTTGTAAAGTTAACAATATAGTTCAAATCCACTGCTTAATTTTATGAACCTCATATGGTCTCCTCTTAACACCGTAGAGAAATGCATGGTTTTCCGTACGCGAAAAATATACAGCTTGTAGTTTTGAAACCCTGAATGCAAGTGTAACAGCAGGTCGGGTTCAAAATTATTCGGGAATTAGAAAAGTTATTTAAAACAGAATTATGCTCTCCTTTTTCATATGAAATTGGAAGAAGACGTGATTTTCTACCGAATAAGTGAAATAATGAATATTTTTAAGCATGTTTTCCATTAAATATAATTGAATTTTCAAGGGCATCGAAAATCAATGAGAAAATAGCATGCTACATATGTAGTCATTTTTTGAGGAGTATAGATCTTGCATGCAGCCGAAAATAAGTTCTTTCGAAAGCCGACACCCTGAGGTAACTGGATCATTAGAGATTTATGCTGCATCATGATTAGTGTTACAACACTACTTAATTTATCTTTTCGAAACGAGAACGCAGTTCGAAATTTTGGGTGACATTTCATGAGTAAGTACATCTACTGTACTTTCGACAATTCCATGCAGAGTTTGAAATACAGCTCAATATATTGAGTCGGGCACAAAAGAGCGATGAAAGGGAGTTGAAACGTCACAAAGTATGGTAACAGAGCCGGTGTTGAAAGGAATGTCATTGAGTATGAGACCACTAACGGACTCGTCGCCAGGACAACCGACTCGTTGTTGCTAAGCTGCCATGGCGTCAGGGTCGAACCCGTGTGCTAGTTGGAGGGAAGACAGTGAGGGCCTGAACAGCGTATCAGCTGCCTAATTCGTCGTTTACGTGCCTACGACACGCCTCAACACTTAGTCTGACGATTTGTAAATGCCTGTATTTATTCACTCTTTATTGTTCTAACGATATTTGTCTTGTCTTGCTTAAAAATATGTGTTAATTTTAAGAGGAGTCTTTCGGATGCATTCTTCTGTTGCCGTGTTTCTTCTTTCATTTTATTCGATTATAACAGTCAGCGACATTTCAAAATGGTCAAGCAATTTGCTGATCGAATTCTGAATGATATTGACTATCCTCTTCACTCCGAAATGATTGCTGTAAAGTCCCCTCGTCCCATGCACAAAGGCTTTCGACGTATTTCTTGTCGTACATCGGAATATCAACTTTCTGTATTGCCACTTGTGTCTCGATACGTTAAGTGTAAATGGAGCGAAATACAGAAACTGAGATTTAAAATCACCCCGTAATAGTTGTTCACTTTAATGTAAACGTCTTTACTTTTGAAACATTTTTATTCGTATCCTGGTCAAAAGTAATGAATATATTTTTGCTAAAAATAGTGACTGATACTTTTAAATTAAAGCGTACTTCTCCCTTTCTATATAAAAGGAACATTTCATCGATATTTTCATAGTCACCTAAAACGTCATAGCTCACTACTTACACTCATTACTAGATACACATCTGAGAACCAAAAGGGACGACGGTTGGATAAGCATAAGTCAACATGTGCCGATGTCACATTGTTAGCTACTGAAATAACAACTTTGAAGACTAACCAGGCGACCGGAGTGACCACTGATGAACGAGGTGCCGATATATTCTCTCCGTTAATGCCCCCGACCGTCGATTGTAGTAATTTATCAGTAAAAAGGCGTTTAGTCTGTGAGTGCGCCCTCCTTCGAGTCTCATTTAGACTTGAAGCATATCACGACTCCTAGTTCCTGCTTTTGACTCGACTTGTCATGATCTCGAGGCAGCCATAGAAGAACAGACATTTAACCATGAATCAATTAACAGCGAAAATTGACTCCGCCTCTCATAACATAAAGAAAACGCTTCAAGGTTCAAGGAAATCTTATCCATACCAGTCGCCGTCTACTTCAATTCAAATATTTTTTGAAGTAGTTTCCTTATCTGATTACCCCAGTTCTGCCTTACCAACACTGTCGTGTGCGTCTCATGTTTTATATTGATTAATTTATGTACAAACAAAGTTAATGTCGCAGTTTTGATTTCGGCTTTCTCAGCGGCAAATGGAGTATTTTGCCAAAAAGGTTAAATTCGGACATTTTTGAGCATTGAAAAAGTCACAACTTTGGCGTGATGGCAACGTTCGCAAAGAGCACTATGCATGCGATGAAAAACCGAGATTGGCGGTTTTGCCCATTGGATTTCCTTCGCGAATTTGGCATTGATTCCTGCAGATAATGAAAAAATGGTTATAATGTTATTTTGAAACAGACTTCTAGTGCTAGATGTTAACAAGAAAAGATTTTGCGTAAAACTCTTTTCTGTTCTTTGGACGTACACCCATTGCAGATGTAGAAGCATTCTTAGACCTAGAATCCAAATGACCCTTGCTTAGAAATGGATCAGGACTAAAAAATGCTTACCAGTATGTGGAGCTGCCGTTCCGCTTATAGCACCAACCGCAGCAGCGTTTATTTTGGTGCAGTAATCAACGAGCCTGACGTCTCGCCTATCAAAAGCGCTACCAACGCCATCATTGAAAATCTTATGCCATAAAGCTCGCATTAAAGAAAATCAGTTACAGGTTAGCGATGAGTAGGCAACATTCCTGTTACATATAGGACATTAAGGTTCCGCGTGATAAGGAAGGTAGCTTTCCATTTTTCTCGCTCTGTCTCGCTCTATTCATGTAACAAGAGCAACTATGAGTTTTATGTACACGGACTAATATCAAGTTGTCGTGGCCTTCAGACCTCGTCCAGAGCATATCATGCGCCTGATCTATATCATTAATATCTTAGGTTGTGAGGCATTCCGCCATAGACCTGACTGTTGACAGGATAATACGGGGCCATTTTATCCATGACGAGGATGCCTCAGGGGTTCCAACTACAATCCGAAGTACCTGATGACTGGGTATTCGCGAAGTCTCTGATATGAACTTTGGGGGAGCGATCGCGCACCAACAGTCGAGCATCAGTCCGTTGCCTAGAAAACCTTCGACCTGCTTACAAATCTATAAATAAAACGCATTGGAGACGACTTTGAAGAATGGCACTTGAGATATGTTATATCACCGGTTTATCGCTGCAGATGGCAGAGGAGGCTAACGCATGGTAGACATTGTAGGCAATACTGAGACAAAACAGGACATTGGCATACGTAGGGTAGTCACGGGGAAACAAACCTCGTTCATAGGATCAGACAAGAGTTGTTCGAAGACTGCTCTCCCGGTCTGGACGGAGTTGTGCCAAACTGACTGAACCCGCTAAATGGGCGAAATAAATGAAACATTTATGATAAAAAGGAGGGG